GAGTGGTTTCAACCGCCGCCCAAGCCGCGCTTTCGCTGGATGTCTCTCCAAACGGCTTCTGCCATCGTAGCAAACACGCGCGGCGCTGAAGCAGGAGCTGCGTGTGCATCGACCGAAGGAGAAGGGCTTTGCAGCACTCCAGGCTGGCCTCTATCACCACCCGATGCGATGCTGGACTCGATGGGTATTCTGCCAAGAACGGGTACTTGGAGCTCCTGTGCGAGCTTGTCGAAAGACGCGGAGGATCCAAACACTTCGAGGGGAGCAGCGCTTGCCATCCCGGTTTCAAAATGTGACATGTTCAATGCCATTCCAGCAACCTTCGTAACAAAAAGGAGGCGTTTCGTCAGCGTCCAAAGTTTCAGCGAGCGCCCCTTTCTGAAGCCGCGACTCACTTGTACGCCGCACTTCTCGAACATCCGCACCCCTCTTCGTGCATCTATGAGGGCAACGTCTTGCGGCGTGCTCACAATCACCACAGAGTCAATAATCATTAGCTGAGTGAGGCTGAGCAAGACATCTCCAGTGCCAGGAGGAGTGTCTATGACGAGCACATCAAGCCCCGAGCCACCGCCTGCGCCTTCCTCAGCTTCAGGTCCGCCTTGCTCTCCCCTCCAGTCTACATCAAAGAGCAGCTGTTGTGTAGCCTTTTGTACCATTAGACCTCTCCATACGATGGGTGCATCTGATGCTGAGCCCGTGTCTGGCGAAGGTGGCAAGAGGTAGCCCATGGACATTGTTGGGATCCCGTGATTGGTCAATGGCACAAGCTGACCATCTGCATTGTTGCAGGCGATCGAGGGTGAGCTCGCTTGATCATGGCATGCGCAGGATCGCCTTTTGCTTTGTTTGTCACTCACTCTTGCTCAGTCTTGGCTCGCCAGCTTTGTCGAGCCCCATGAGCTTTGGTACACTCGGCCCAAAGATGTCCAAGTCGAGCAGGCCTACGCGCAAGCTCCGTCCCAGACCTGTACTGCCCGGGCTTAGCTTAGCGAGACTGAGTGCGGTGCTGACAGCAACTGTGGATTTACCAACCCCACCTTTTCCCGAAGCAATGACCAGCGTGGACCCTACAAATGCTGGACGCCTTTTAGTCGTGGGTCCGGATCTGCGCGGCATGCTCGGTGGCGCATTGGAAGATGGTAGACCTAGAGGATTGTCATGGCCTCGCGCGCGGCTTGAAGACGTCAGCCTGGCGATATGGCTGGGTAATTGTGATGATTCAAGAACGTTGTGGACGAATGGTCTGCGACGAGAGCATACATCGCACCTCGCCTGTGGGGCTGTTGCTCGTAGCAGCTGCCCGAGGCGTGGCCTACACGGCGCGATCGTAGCGTGGGGCATTTTGCACCGTGAGCGCGCGCAGGGCTGGTGCGATGTCAGGGTGGTCCAGCGCTGTGATAGAGGCAAAGCGATTGGAAATCAAAGACAAGAGGTAAGGAGGCGATGGCAGCGCACGAGCGCGCGTGTACGTGCTCGCGAGCAGGGATGAAGGTTGAAGGGCCGGATGGGAGGGACCCTTCTTTGGAAGATGATGCATGCCTCTGCTGTGCGCTGCTGCTGCTGCCCGCGTGGCCCGAGCGCTTTCAGTCCCGCGGTCGCGTTGGAGCTAAGCTCGTGATGCTTTTTTGTGGCGCGTGGTGTTGCGGGCGCGAGCCGTGTGTCGGTTGCAGTCACGAGTCTTGAGTGTCGTGACGACTGCCCACCGCGCGCTCACTTACCCGCATCTGTACCCCGATCCCGCAATCGGCATAGTCAATCACCACCAAATGAGCTCTTCAACAGCCAGCGATTTGTGTGTGACGATTCCTACAAGCAGCAAGCAAAGACGTCCAGCTATATTTCACGTGAAAACATCGGGACGTCTCAGACGCAGTACCACCACCCCACTCTAGGAGTCGCTTCCCCGCAAGCACCCACAGACCTGCTGAAGAATCGGCAAAGCTTGCTGGCAACAGACAACAACGTCTTGCGCAAGACTGCGCGGGCAATCTTCGCCCGCGGCGTAACCCAAATTGGCTCTCCAAACCGTTGCCCGCCAAGTGAGGTGCATCTACGTCACCTTCAGGACGAGCGCTTGATCGGACAACAGGGTCCGGCGACCAGACTGCAAGGGCTCGTGGAATCAGACAAGCGGAACATCCTCTCACACTCACTTCTGAGCCGTCCAAGCGCCAAATAGCTGGCTGAAGGTTGGCACACAGAAAGGTGCAATACCAAGTGGGAGGCAGTCTGGTGGGCCACCCTGCACCAAGGTGGACTCCGTGGGGACACACTGTTCGGCATGGCGGTTCTACCCACCTCACCCCTGCGGCGACGAGCTAGTGGCATCGTTGGCAATGGCGGCAATGGGCCGCAGAGCAACGGCGAAAATCCCTTGTGAGTCTCCCGACTGAGCACATTGCTGCCTTGGCTGCGTTCATGCGCTTCGCAACACTCCCTCGACGCACACGCGCAAGACTCCCTTAGACAACGTCGCGACCATCTGAACTAGCCTCATGGCTACGGCACATCTATGACTGACACGCTGACGTCTTCATGCTCAGTCGGTGGGGTATCATTGGTACTGGGCCTTTGGCTACCCGCTTCATAGCGGAGATCAGGGAGCGCGAATCGGCGGTCGGCAGCAGTTCACGCAGGTGAGTTCAGGAGTACCCCATAGAAATGGCGCCCTTCGCAGATTCTGCAAATGAAGGAGCATGAGGACAGATGGCTCCGGAACAGGTTCGCACCAGAGTCAGAAAAAAATGGCGCTGCGGAGCTCCTTCGCTTGACAGTTGCGCATATATTTACCCCCTCGTCCACGTCGCAGCCAACGAGCCCACAAAGTTCTCGCAGTCCAGGCCGCCTCAAAGGTCTTAGTGACTTCATTCCTACATTCCAACTTTCCCCCGTCGACTTCGGCGCCCTTGAGCCACTCGACACTCACGGAAATGCTGGCCTTGTCTGAAATTGATGCTGTCCTGGTCGCAACCTCCAATCAGAGTCAAAGAGGCGATCAGGCTGCCACTGCCCTCAGGGCTGGCAAGGCAGTCTTGCTCCCCAAGCCTTTGGGTGTCAGCGCCGCCGAGGCTAAGGAGCTCTGCGCTCTCGCTACAAAAAACAGGTCGTGGCTAGCTATGCCGATGTCGGACAGCACAACGTGAGTGCGGACCGGAAGTCCACACGGAGGAGAGTTGCTATGTAACAGCAGCCGAGATGAGAAGCGGATCCGGTCCGCATCTCATTTACCAGACGCGTAGCACTGACGCGATTCTATTGGTCTGGTCAATCCCCATGAACGCGCTGCAGACTAGTACACGCTGCGGATCACTGCTCACAAGGCGTTCAAGGGAAAATTTCCGAAACGCCTGCCTTGGCCTGGTCGCAAAGCTTAGCCGTGCTAGAGGTGCGTTGCACGCCAGGCGTCCCCATACTTGCACTTCATTTGAGCACGCCTTTCCCACGCGCAGATTTTGGATGACCTTCGGATACAAGGCAACTTGCCAGCACCTCCCGACAAGCCACCTGAAGAGCCAGCGGAGCCTCTCCATAGCGCCAAACCAACGTCGGCCCGATCTATTGCAGACCCAAAGAGCGCGGGCGCCGTTGCCTTTCCAAGAGACGAAACGCCATCCAAGGGAGATGATGAGACCTGTTTGAGCGGCCCGCGAAGCGCACCTTTACAGACAAATCGACCTTCGAGTCGCTTGAGCACCACGAGCGAGACCAGCGTTGCCAGTGGGAGCGCAAGTCATGGAGATGCCAGCGCAGACAGAGGTATGTCACTCAGGCCCGCACACGCCAAGCAAATGCTGATGCTGCAACCAACGCGCATCTCGTCAATCCCTGATTAGGAGCTTTACGAGCTCAGGTGCAGGAGATGAAACACATCATCAGGCAGCAAAAGGGCGTCATTGCGACGCTGGAGCAGAAAGCAGGCCTGCAAACTGGTGCTTCTTCGTCATGGGCTGCGCCATCGAAATACAAAGGTGCGCAGGGGTCAGGCGTGGGTATGGGAACGCCCCCATCTGCTTATAGCAGGCTAAGAGTCGTGAGCGGTGCTTCCGATCGAGATGGCGTCACGGTGGATCGAGAAGGCGTCCGCAGTGCAAGTCCGGCCGGCAGCATCTCGAGCGTTGGCCGTCGTCGGCGCCGAGATAGTGGAACTGCGACAAAGGTGGATCCTGCAGTCGTCCCTGTAGGCAGTGCTAATCAATTGGGACTAGCTGCTGTGAAGGAGGCCGGACCCAGCAATCTGGCCCTGGGAGAAGGACTCTTAGCTCCGACAATAGCATCCGAGAATCGGCGCGTGGCAAGCACCAATGGCGCATCCACCGATAGCGCACAGAGTTCAAACGGCATCGTGGGAGGAACGGCAGCAGGAGGTTCGTCTGGTAAAGTCATCCAACAGCTTACAAGTGAGCTTGCCGCTGCGCGCAGCGCGCTGGAGGAGACCAAGGTCCAATTGAGGGCTTCGCAAAAATCTCAGGCTGCGGTGCAGCGGTCTTGGGACGAAACAAAGGCTGCTCTGAATAGGTCACGAGCGGAGAACGAAAATTCAGGAAGCATGCTCACTCGCAAAGACCGGCAAGCATCGGAAGCGCTAGAGAGAGCTCGGAAAGCTGAGAAGGAGGCCAAAGAGCTTGGTAAAGCGAGCAGAGAATGGGGTTCGCGGGTCAGAGAGGTGGAAGCGGAGCTGGGAGAAGAGAGACGACGGAAACAGAAGACCGAGGCAAGCTATGAAGCGTTGACGAGCGCTTGGAAGACGATGCGAGAGACGTGGGAGAAGGAGCTTGGAGGTTTGAGAAAGCAGTTGAAAGACCAGATCGCTGATAATGCGGCACAGGCCAAGAAGATGACCGACACGTTCGACGAGGCCAAACAGGCTTGGTTAGGTCGCGAAAGCGAGCGACAGAGTCTGGATACGACTTTAACAAGACTGCAAGAGGAGAGAGAAAAGGCGAAAGAAATCGTCACCAGGCAGGTCGAAGAGCTGGTCAAACAGCTGGTCGAGCACGAGAAGCACACTGGCAGTCAAGATGCCAATGTGGAAGAATGCGCTTCTGCAGTCCGACGAATGATCCGTTTGGCCAGGGCAAACGATACGACCACACCTTTCTGATGCGCCGAGCATCTCTGCTGCACTTTGCGCCTTCTGACTATATGATGGGACAGCACAGAGATCCCGACTACTACACCTCATTGCACCCTTTCACTTTTGGTCTCCCCCCCCCCCCCCCCCCCCCCCCCCCCCC